TAACTACAGTAGCATTCAATGTGGCCCAGTTTTAGATTTTCATATATGGAAAATGAGGTGACTTGTATCTATTCCCAATCTGTTTCCATCCATCTGTTTAACATCGAATCTTACCAATGAATACCTCCATTCATTGTGAAAAGAGAGTTCAAGAAAGAGTAAATATTTTTTCCTGATATTTAGGTATATGTTTTAGTTTTCAAACAGAAACCAAAGCTTGTAAGGGAGTCTGGTTGACCATTGTTCTGTAATACAAACGTTTGAGCGGTGAACTTCTTCATATCATGACATCAAGTATTATTGCTTTCTAGGTGTACATGTTCTTCTCAAGTCTACTAGTGGTGTACGCTATGCCTTGTATAGTCTAGCGTCAAGTAAACCTGAGCCAGGGGGGGTAATGCCTACAGACTGCTCTGCATTCCTTACTCAGACTGGAACGAAAGAAACTAAACTGCATGCTACTGGCTGTGTAAGTGGTTTSATTATTGGAATAGTCATAATGTAAAACTTTCAAAATGGCGGTCGTTCATGACCGACGAGATCGGGGGACTAGTGACGAATCATTGAAACGAGATCTCAAAGGCCTTAAATCTAAAAAATCACTACGAAGATCGCATGTATGGCAGTGTCCAATAGTTTGAAAGATGTATTGGTATGTTATTTATAACAAAACACCATTTCAAGACTTCATGGAAGTTTACTTTACGAAGGCTGACCTTTGAGACCTCGTTTTCGTGCTTCGTCCCCAGTGCCCTGGTCGGCGACCGTGACATATCGCGCATTTTGATGGGTCCGTCGTAAGATAAGTGAAACAGAGGAAGGGTGCTGGGAATCTCAGTATTTCCTGGTCCTCAGTATTTGCGGTTTCGAGGTGAAAAAAGTCTCCCTAATGTCGCTTGCATGAATTAAACTTTAAATCCCATAACTTCTTTTCTCCTTATTAACGATGATGATAGGCAGTGTACAGCAATGCTATTTCGTAGAACGAATCGTGACGGGAGGTTTCTTTCTATTAAACTGCGGTTGTTCTTACCAAAAATACAAGTAGTTGTGTCTTTTTATAAAGAAAACCGAAAAAAACACTTAACTCATTCCCTACAGTAGTCCTTAAGTACTGATAATACCGATGGGCCGTAGGGAAAGGGTTTATTGAGATTTTTATGGGAGGTTTTGTTGTTCAAAATGACGTCGCTTCAACTTGTCTTTTATGGTGATTATGGTTGAAGGGATTTTACAATACTAACAGATGCTCTTTTTCAGGATTCCCTTGTCATGATGACAGATACAAATGGGACGTTATTTCCCCTGTGCAGGAATTTCCTTGGTTCAATAAAGGACCCAATTTGGACGGTAAATATACATGAAACAGTTTTTCTTTAAAAATATTGAAACCTGAAAACATCCAGTTGTTCATAGCATAGGATTTCAAGAAACCTTTAACAAGATGAATCATTCGCTACCTTAGTCCACGTAAATTTCTTTAGTTAATAAAGAGTAAAGTGATAGTGACGAATCATGGAAACGAGACCTCAAAGAACTTACATCTAAAAACACCACGAAGATCGCATGTATGGCAGTATTAAAGTTTGAAAGATGTATTCGTATTTTATTTAGAACAAACAGACTTGCAAAACACCATGGAAGTCGGCGAACGTGACAAATCGCGCCAYTTTTGAAAGTCGTGAATAATAAAAGCCAATTACAAAGGAATAAATGTTTGCTTTATTAATAAACGATTGGTACCTAGCTAATGATTTATTTTGATTCTAGGACTTACCACCATTACAGTGTCTTGGCGTTGGTGTTACATCTTTACGGCCAGGAACTGAGTGCAAGTCAAAGGCTATTGTTGTAGTCATGGCTTTAGAGGTAAATAAGAAAATKCTAAGTTCTAAGTCCCTTGCAAACTCAAACAAAAAGCAATGTGTGTGTTAGAGTGCCTTTGAACAGCACCCCCATACACTTAGTGGAAGTGGACAATCGACATGATTGGATTTTCGCGGAGTTATGTGACCAAATACTCTCCTTCACGGTTTCTATTTGTGGTAAAAAAAATAGACATTAGATCAATTGTCAATAGGAGAGAACTCAAGTTCAATAGACCAATCCCGCATTCGCTTGGATGAACACGAAACGATTGCTTCATTCCGAGGCTGGAGTTTTATCTTTCGTCGAAAACTCTCGCCTCGAAATGAAGCCATTGTTTCGTGTTCATCCGAGTGAATTCGAGATTGGTCTATTCGAGTTCAATTCCTAAACGTGTATAAATTTTTTTCTTGTAGTCACAAAAGCTGCTCTCTCATGTGTTGGATTGTGATTATGAAAGAATTCAAAGCTTTTTGGAGTCATTTACTGGTGAAAACGGTAAGAAAGCTTGTCTGTATGTCCATGGCTGTCTGTTTGTCTTCTCTGTGCGTGTCTCTGTCGTTTGTCTCTCTGTCCTTCTCTTACAATTGTAATATAGATCTATATAACAAGCTAACATTTGACATCAATATATTTGTAATATCGTTGTCAGCTCTAGTTATTGATGCCTTTTTTTACTCTCACTTAGCCTTTCCAACAAGTGTTCTTGAAGTCGCCCTCCACGAAARATGTGACGGCAACAGAAAYATCCTGCACACATGTGTATCCATGTGCGTCCCTACCTCAGCACACGAGCCGGGGGAACCTGTCAAGCCCTCRACGGGGGGAGGTAGTGCCAGTGGTAGTAAGTTAGAATCGTTCAAAGGTGTAGTTGATGCTCTTGCTGCTGCTGTAGCTGCTGCCTCTGCTGCTGTTCGTCAAAGTAGCAGYCTTGCTACTGAATGCTGCTTGGCTGATTCCGTTAATGGTGCGTTAATATACCTAATGGAAAAAAAACAATGCACCATATTATCTTATAGTCTCTTTGGCAGCCTCTTCTTTGTCCGGCTTGCTGTCTCTCCAGGAAGCTGGAGGAAGGCTGCGTAGGAGAAGAGGAACATGGGAAGAAATACAATAGATATTTAGATATCTAGAATACTTTAGATATTTTGGTTCAGTGACCATGCACGAAAGAATTGCAGACGAGGCTCCGGGGAAAATAAAACAATAAATCAAGATTATCCATTGTTTTCCCGGAGCCTCGTGTGCGTTCTTTTGTACATAGTCATCGAACCAAAATATCTAAAGTCGGCTATTAGGGGACATGATTCATTGAAGTCCATACATAGCATCATAGAACACGAGAAAAGCATTGCAAACATGGGATTTTCCATTGTGTTTACCTTATGAATTATTAATAAATATGATAATATATCTTACAGAAAATCCAGTCACCTCAGCCCCAACAACTTCTTCCTCTCAGCAAAGCAGTGGGAGCAGCAGTAGCAGGATTGGTGTGAGAGAAATGATGCAGAGAGCTGTCTCTGCTGCCAGGTCAGCTTCATCTACCCTCGCAGGCCTCGAGTCTGATGACGATGCGGCGATACCTACTCTCCACTGGCCCCCAGACCCCGCCAGTGAAGGTCGCTCATCGATATCACGTGTTACACAGTCTTTAGATAACACTGGTGAGTATAAATAACGGTTAGTACTTCATGTAAAACCTGACCAGATGTATATCCTAAACATTACCCTAACTCAAATGCAGTAATATATCAGTAAGTGCCAATTCGTGGGTGCTACATGAAGTACTGACCTAAATAACACATTTGATGATGAAAGGTAACTTTGTTTTACCAAAAGAAATTGTAAGAACTTGCACAAAACAGGAGCTTTGAATTGCCACAGTTTTCAAGAGAAAAACATGGGAGTAAATAGACCCTGAAGCTTTTACGTACCGTATGCGCAATGCATTGTGGGATATGTTTTTGATAAAACATGGCGGATTGGTGCCTGGCGGATTTCTTTTGTTTTCTGTAGAAACTGATTCCGAAATAGTCTCCTTCATGTTTCCCTGCGACATCTTGAAAGGTGGCCGTGCCTTTACATCAAAGCGAGACAACCGTTGAGCGTGCAATGATAGAAACCTGTGAATAATTGTCTGTAGGTGTGAAAGTGGGTTTCTATATCTTTGTACGCTCAACAGTTGTCTCGCTTCGATGCAAAGGCACGGCTACCTTTCAAGATGGCGCAGGGAAACTTGAAGAAGACTATTCACTGCAAATCACGTACGTGACGTAAAAGCTTGAGAAGTCTTTTTAGCCCTAGAGAGCCTAGTCATTGATAGATAGAAGGAAAATCGGTATATACGTAAACGGGAAAAAAAGAGAAGAAAATTGCTAATTTCCGATCTTTGTCACCGTAGAAAACAGCGAAGAGGATTCGTTGAACCTGAGTTCGTCGAACACCGCTGGTCCATCACTTGTAGCAGCGGAGGAAAACTTAACAAAACAGGATAAAGCGCTTCGCTGTCTTAACTTGATATGYGAAAGCCCTGTGATTGCTTCTCACATCGCCAGACTTATGTCAGAACGGTAAGMTAAACGTATGAGCTCTAAGAGCCTGACATAATGCTTACATTTTGGTACATTAGTACAGACAGTTTACTATCAACCTAAGAAAACACAGACCCTTTACGACTGTTTGTTTGTTGTTTTCATTTTACTTTTTTCAAATTGAAAGTCGCTTTTTAATTGATTCTAATTTAAAATGGCTATTTTGCGTATGAGCAAATCGCGTAGAGGGTCTTGAATGTATGTGGGACTTTAAAGAAAGACGAAAGTGCTATGAACTTTCCTTGGTCATTTGAGCACCCATGTAACAGAGTTCGCGCCGTATAGTTGAAGAAATGCCAATCTTTACAGAGAATGTAAAGTTTCATGAGGTCTATTGCTACACTGCCACGCAGCTTTTCTGTTATCTTTCACGAGTTTGTAMGGTTTCTTGTGATTGGAGGGATAAATCAATGTTTATTGTTTTCCTTGTTCTTTAATCCTATTATCATTKTCTTTATTTAACAAATATCTAGTTAACCAATCGGATAAGATCTTGCAAAACCGTGAAGGGGCTACCCCAGCTTTTAGAATGCTCAGRAATTTTTCGGGATTTTCCTAGCAACAATATAATGGTTTCTATATGTTTTTCGACGTTTTTGAAGCGTGTTTAATTAGAACTCCCCCTTACTAGTGTGTTTTTATTTTTATAGAAACGCTAATGGTGACACTCCATTCATGGCAGCCGTCAAAACACGTGCTTACAAAGCAGGCCTAAGTCTATTCGCTACAGCTAAACGCCTGGCGACAAAGACCTTGAACGTTGTTGACAAAGAAGTGTTGATGACCATGATATGCCCGTCTGATAGCCACGCYGATGCATCCCCWCTGCACATGCTCTGTTGTAACGATACCTGCTCGTTCACGTGGACTGGAACCGAGCATATCAATCAAGACATTTTYGAGTGCCGTACATGTGGGCTGACGGGGTCGCTGTGTTGCTGTACTGAGTGTGCGCGTGTGTGTCATCGAGGACATGACTGCAAGTAAGTATTACCGAACTTTGAAGATCATGGTGCATTGTGGTCTTGCTTCATTTTCATATCAAACAATTTCTTTGACATTCGCGCAGGCTACCTGTGTTTTTTGTGGGGTTCCTTATTTTTAAGGATGGGAGGAGACTAGGACAAAATTATAATGGCCGACATGTTGAAAAGCAATTTCTCTGCAAATTCTGTAAGTTTTAGCCATTTTAAAGCACTTAAAAATGTGGAAAAAATTTGAAAAAAACTATCTAACGTACTTCCTTATAAGGTAAGATTACCATATATGGTCAGCAAAAGTTTGGCAAACGAATGAATTTTTCTCTGAAGCAATTGTTTGGTATGCAAAGAACACCATATTTGGCTATACAAACAAAAGGATCATCTAGATCACAATGCAATTTGTAATGCTATCTTAAGGCCGATTTAGGTGCAACTTTTGCCTACAACCTTGCATGCAACATGCGTAAGTTTCATGCGTTGGCTGTAGTTGTACCGTCTTCCGGCCTTTGGAGATTCCTCAATTTTGGAACTAAAGTAACTCTTACATAATAATTATAAAGTAGAAAAATAGGCAAATATTTTAAGCATAGATACAAATTCTTATTTTTCATTTTTTCTTTTTTCATTTAGACTCAAAAGGACTTCTCCRACTGCTTACTGTGACTGCTGGGAAAAGTGCAAATGCAAAGCTCTAATACCAGGMCCCCAGCAAGCTCGTTCCCAGCTTCTCACTAAACTCATTAACGAGACAGACCTGGTAACTAAACCTAATGCCAAAGGAGAGCATCTGCTACTGTTTCTAGCCCAGATGGTAGCCCGACAAACTGTTGAACAATGTCAGCATCGGCCCCATCGTTCGTCTGATTCTCGCTCAAAAGCGAAGACCAAAACACTGGGAGTGACTGCCACACCGTTACCTGAGCATGACCTTGAGCCACCTAGATTTGCTCGTAAGGCACTGGAACAGATTATGCAGGACTGGAGGGCTGTTAAGGCTATGGTTATGGATGGATGTAAGCCAGTCGACCAAGCAAGGTATGTCTTAAATAGAGGATACTACATGGGCGCGCGGAGATACGGATTTTATCTTCGAGTCTTGGAAAGATCTCTCAGTGAGTGCGCGTAGGGAACGAGTGAGAGATTTTGAACACAAGAAGATAAAATTCGTATCTCCAAGGGACCATGTAATATTCTATTTATATATTCTATCTRCGAAATGCCTATATTTCTCTCTTTCGAAATGTTGTTCATTTCACTAATGAAAATTCGAAAAACATCTGCAACTTYCGTCATGCTTTGTTGAACAAAATGGCGTCGCTGCACATTGCCTTGTACCCAACCCTCCAYRATATGAAATCTTGCAATGGGAAATGTTCTGTAAATGTTTTGTTCATCCATCTTTTCGTTAATAGACGCCCAGGTCAAGATAGCTACATGGATTTRAATTCWACTGCGATGTTATCAAACAGCGAACAAGAACGATACTTATCAGGTCAAGACAGAGCTGTGCGATTAGATGCTTTTACGCATTGCTTGATCGCCAAGTGTACAACCGAGGTAATGACTGCTTTGGTTATTGCTTGTTTGGGTTGCTTTTTTTGTTTGTTTTTTTGTTTTTGTTTTTACGGAAACAACGTTGGTAGAGTTGAGCTTTCTTTGGCCGTAGGCATCGCGGTGCGATTAGGAAGAAGCGAGGGAAGCCTACCTCCCTTGTACGCTAATCTATCAAATGTGTGGTCTTGAAAGGTAGCTGTACCTTTATGTCGAAGCAAGACGACCGTCTCCTACAGACAAATGCGCTATTTCATTATAAGTTCAAATCAAAACATTCTATTGTTTTAACGCAAAATATTACGGTCGTCAAAGAGGATCAGAGTGACTGCATATAAAATAAAATGTCATTAAACAGTCATTGATAAATGACATATATCAAAACGCGATGCATTGAAGTTCTACCTTCGGATAGGGTATACATCAGTCCAAATTCCCATTGTTTTAGAGCATCTTTATCCGATGTAAACATACTATAACGTTATAATGAAATAGGGCAGTTATTCACCGGTATCAGTCATTGCACGGTCAAAGGTCGTCTCAATTTGAGGCATGGCGTCCTTCCCTGACTTTCCTTTAGTTTCGGGTGTTGGTCGTCCATCTTATCCTTTCTTAAAGTTCAATTTCCACAAACAAAYAAAGCTATATGGTAAGATTGTTTTGTGTTTATTTTCAGGTACTTGATCATTTGTTGGGTACGCTAGTACAAGCTGTCAAGAACACCGACGATTCACATCACTCTGAAGAGGCCGCCGTTGCTAAGCGTTTCGTGCGCTCCGTTGCTAGGGTATTTGTTGTCCTGGCGTCTGAAATGGCACCAGCCACAGGAAAAAGAAAAGCGTAAGTGTGTTTTTTGTGTTGTTTTCTGGTTTCAAACTACATCATCTTTGTTTCTTTTTTATGGTCCCCTAAAGGCTTGTATTCACTAGACATACGCAGAAGCATAGCGATAAGCATAAAGCATGTTATCACTAGACATAAGCACAAGAATAAGCTTAAAATATGAGTTTTCAATGGACTCAAGCATAAGAACGTTCCTTATTGATATGCTATAGTGGCTATGCTTATGCGCTAGTGAAAACAGCCCAATAAGTTTTCACTTTTTTTTCTCGTTTTTGAAAATTTTAATCGCTACGCTTATGTCTAGTATATGTATCTTCTATTCCAGGAGTTTTGTTCAGCCGCTGATAAAGTGTCGACGAGTATTCCAAGCTTTGAACTTTCTCGCTATTCCAGAGCTGGTACAAGCAGCAGACGCCCTTCTCGCTCCAGTCCGACTCGGCATTTGTCGTCCAGCCCAGCCCTTCTCACTCGTGTCGTCCGCTCTGTCTGCTACTCAAGCAAGTGAAGAAATCTTCTCGGTGGAACCTTTGCCTTTGAAAGCAGCTACAACGTCGACTAACGAAGGGGAAACCAGCAGCCATGAAAGACCCACTGGCCATCGGCATCGCGGGCAACGACATAGACGACGTCAAGCACGTTTAGCTGGACATGACCATGCACCCCAGGGGGGAGGGGGTGGTGGATCTAATGTAGCAGGAGCGAGTGTTGATAGTGAAATGGTCGAGGTATGTATTTCTTATGAGGTAAAGAAACGCATAATTTTGTGGAGAGAGAGACAACATCCCCCACTGTAAACTTGCTGTGACGTCATTCAATAGGGCAGTTGATTTGATGACATACTTAATTGATGGATTGACAGAATTACTGACTCATTTATTAATTGATTGAAGGATTAATGGAATGGGTGACAAAATAATATATTTATCAATAAGTCTTTTTCAAGTTTAACGCGAGCGACCGCTGTTTTAGTATACAACAGACTCACTTGCGTAGAGGAAAGCACGAAAATATTTTGACATTACAATAGCTCTAGAAATTTGAATCTTTTCCGATTTAAGGCTTAGCCTGAGAAAGACGTTGAATCTTCTGCGAATACAGGCTTAGCGCTGTTGTAATGACAACATTTTTTCGTGCTTTTGTTTTTGCCAGGTCTTTGCGCGTGAGAGACTGTTGTCAACTAAAGCAGCGGTTGCTCGCTTTGAACAGGAAAAAGGCGTATTGAGTGATTGATTGCCTGACTGACCAACGAAAATATTGAATCGTCAATAGTCTCCTTCATGGTTACCTGCGCCATCTTGAAAGGTAGCCGTGCCTTGTCATCGAAGCGAGACAACCGTTGAGCGTGCAATGATAGAAACCTTCTTTCACACCTACAGACAATTATTCACAGGTATCTATCATTGCACGCTCAACGGTCGTCTCGCTTCGGTGCAAAGGCACGGTTACCTTTCAAGATGGCGCAGGTAACCTTGAAGGAGACTATTGGTTGGTTAGTCGGTTGGCCGATTGATTGATTGACTGATCGATCGATCGATCGAGTAGGAGTTTGATCGGCTCGGCAAAAAAAAACTACTACAAAATATTAAAAATTAATAACGTTACATTTTATGCAGGTCGTCGAGTGTGCAGACTCAGAAATGCAAGAAGAACGAGAGGAGGTTGGAGAAGAGGAAATAGACAATGGTGTCCATGGTAACGAGTCTGACATGGACCTAGACCTCCTGGCAGAGAGTGAAAGCGACAGTGACGACAGTAACGTTGGCGAAGTAGAAAGCACTGTGCGGCGTATTCGTGTACCCGGTTCAGTTGTTGGCTCCGATAGTGCGAGCCTCGGTGAGCACGGAGAGTTCTACTCTGAAGAAGAGTCTTCGACAGGAGAGGATGACGAGGAAGAGGAAGAAGAAGAAGGAGATGAGAGGGAAAGGGATGAGAATGAAGCCTCGCAACCAGAGGTAGCTGACAACACCAGTCGAAATACTTCAGGTAAAAGACTCTTTCTGGTCACAATATAAAAATGTTCACTGTAATGGTGTAAGCTAGCAGTAAACTAGTGTGAGCTGCGTCGGTGTTTTTAGAAACAGTTGTGCAAAAAGATAAATTTAACACCGTAAAAAAATAGGTGAAACAACTTACTGATGTTTCGGACGTTAACGCTTCGTCGGAGTTAATCCTTCGTCCGATGAAGGATTTACGTCCGAATCACAGTCAATTGTTTAAACAACTTTTTTTACGGCGTTAAATTTATCTTTCTGCACAACTGTTCACGATAAACTTGATGATAGCGAAAGTCGACAAAACTATTATAAATGATGGAAAGTTGCAGTGCCCGGAATAAAGTTCTTTCCAAGCACTGTAAATCACATTATTTCTAGTCCATGCATTTCCCAGTGCTACGCGGTCCACTTATCGTATATTATGAACAATGATAGTGATGTAATATCCTCGGTGACACAGGGACTCTTGATTGATGGCTGAAAAAGTTTAGACCTTGTAAATCTGGGGTCGATTGTGTGAAATGTGAATAGCGTTATCCACCGGATAAGATCCATGTAATCAATTAATGCGAGAATTCAAATAAAACAATCTTATTTTTCTCTCGACAGCCACCGAACCCCGTACCACCCCCCATGCGATGCAGTGGGCCATACGTACCAACCAACCGCGCAGCACAGCAAGCACTGGTCTGGCCAGCGGACATTCTCTTGCAGGCTCAGGTTTTATATACGTGGATTCAGCTACCATCAGGCGTAGCGCTGCTGCTAATGGTGCGGCGGCAAGCACTACACCACACACTGAAATCAGCAGCACTAACACTAGCGAAAGAATGGGCAACTCGAGTAGTGCTCTCGCTAGAGCGTTTGGTATCGTCGTTAGAGAGGTAGGCTGATATACTGTGAAAATACAATATTATTGAATTAAGAAATAGAGAACGGCCGTGCATGTTATGTCCTGCTTTATGAAAAACTTGGGACGGGTAGAAGTCGAGAAATGCAAGCGAGAGCACTCAAGAAAATAAGAGATCGAGTTTCTCGCTTCTCGAGTGCTTCTACTCTCTCACCCTGTTTAATTTGGTTTGTAAAACAATGAACAAACAATAGATGATCTTCCAAACAAGAAAACAAAGTCTAACTTAACAATGAAGGTTCTGTTCTAAAGGAGTAATCAAAAATTAGCTTTGAAAGGGTTTGTTATTTCTGAAACAGTGACCAAGCTTCTACCTGTTTATAAAATACGAGCGTGTGACCTTAATGGGTATTTTAAAACTGCGAGCTGCGAGCGAATATTTTATATTGCTTATCAAATTTTAACAAGCTAAGGCATATTTTGCCAAAAACTTTAAGATAAAATTTTAAGAGAACATCGATGTTGAAGTTGTATGCAAATTAGGACAAATATTTTGCTCAAGCAAAGATGCGGCCACGTCAATGATTTTCCATTGTGTTAATCTTATAGATTATTAATGAATTTTATAATTTTTTCCATAGATTACCGATCTACTTATCTTCGCACGTGACCCTACGTCATTGACGATCAGCACACTCACCCTACCCCCAACGGTACTCCGTGACTAYTGCACCCTTGTTGACGACGGCCTCCAACCATGCTGGGATTGGTTACAGACTATTATGGACTGCACTGAGTCTCAGCTGAGATTTGGGTTATCGTTATCATCAGCTACAGATTCCACCCACCCCTCCCACCCACTCCACGAAGCGCATCAGAAAACTACAAGYAGAGATAGACGCACACGCGAGGACGCCGTGTTGTACCGCGCGTGGGAAGGCAAAAAAAGAAGGTAAATTAAGGATATGTTCCAATGTGGGTGGGGGCCCTCATTGTACACAGGGATCCCAAGAGGGCCGTTATGCAGACTATTGCAAATGTACCGAGCTCAAACCTGATCCGATAAAATATATTGTACAGTAATACGATACATAAAAATAAAATATATTGTACAGTAATACATAGCCTAGAGAAACTTGCATAGTTTCAAGTTGTGACAAAAGGCCTTTTGAGGCAATGAAAATACATAGGGAATTTCGAAATTGAGGCTTTAATTTGTCAATGAAATACGTAAACATTCTCCTTCGCGGTTCCCTGCGCCATCTTAAAAGGGAGCCGTGCCTTTGTATTGAAGCGAGACGACCGTTGAGCATGCAATGATAGAAACCTTCTTTCACACCTACAGACAATTGTTTACAGGTATCTATCATTGCACGTCCAACAGTTGTCTCGCTTCAATATAAAGGCACGGCTACCTTTCAAGATGGCGCAGGTAACCGTGAAGGAGACTATTGACAAGCAACTTGGTCGATATGACATTATAATTATTCACTTACCTGTTTATTCATTTTTTTTAATTTATTCATCTGTTCATTTGTTCATTTATTCACTTATGCATTGATTGTTTACGTTAGTATCCTCCCAATTTTCTTATGTATAATCGCGTCATTTTATCTTTATTATGTAGAAGACACACCACTGCAAGTGTCGGTACACCTGATGCCAGCTGCCAAGACTTTCTTCTCTACCTGCTCTCGTTACTACGAGGGCAAGGCTGTGAACATGGCGATACCCTACCAAAACTTGACGTATCTTCTCTTCGTCATGTGGCGTACGTCATGGATGCACTTATCTATTATCTACGAAACAATCCTAGTGGTGTGTCTCATGGTAACATGTCTAGTGTGGATACTACAAAAACTACTACACCGGCTGTGGAAACTGTCAACGATGAAGAAGGTAATTGTATTTATAAAGAAAACATTCGACATGCTTCTGTATATAGCTATTCCTAAAAGGCTTGTCGGATAAAATGGCGAATGGCAATTGTTGAAGGGAGATTGCAGGTTCGAAAGTAACCATTGGTTTTGCAAGTTAATGAAAATTAAACTGATTTATGCGGTAGATAGTTATATTGGCTGCATTTAGTCTCTATTTTCGCTCGAGGTGAACACAGCAAATGAAACCTAGTGTCAGACTGCGTAACCATAGTCCCTTTCGGTCATGCAATATCGTTGAATTGTACTCGGAATTATGTGGATTCCTTTGTTTTCTATTGTCAAATCTACACTGTATTTCGTTATTTAGCACTATTTGGTTGGTACTTCTTCTCGCTTTGAGCCGGTATTTTCACTCTATCCCTCATTCCACTTGCAGAATTTGTAGTCGAGGAACTTTGATAATATTTATCACAAAATTTCGTCCGTTCTTGTCTTTATTTTTACTGTTTGTAAATATATCCAGTTCTTTACTTTTGTAAGTTATATTCTAATCTATTATATACTTCTAATCTATTAAATACTTTTTTATTGCACCCGCCAAGAGTAGTTCAAACTAACTGCGGGTAGCAATATTGTTGCAAATGTTGTTGTTATAATGGCCACGAACCTATCATTTCAGGTAGTGAAGATATCGACGATGAAGACAGCAGTAGCTTACGTCGTGATGACGAATATGAAGATGATACCGAGACAGTAGAAGATGAACCAATGCCTACACCAGTAGCCGGTACCTTACATCAATTCTTCGTACGTACAGACTCCTCTACAGTACTTGGTTGTGAACCTCCGGACCCATTTAGTACGCAGATAGAAGAGGCACTGCCGTTAGCCTGCCAGCCACACCTACTCCACCCCGGGGCACGACGGGAACAGCTGTTTGGGACTGGGTCCGAGAAGAATTTGTCTAGTAAGGGAAAGGAGTCGACGCGGTCGATGGCGTTATCGAGGCCTGAAATGACTATACCTAATATGGCTCCTCAAGAAGAAGCGGTTACTGAAATTAAAGAATCTCTACAGGGAGAGAAAGGTTAGATTTTTTGGAGCGTATTTATTCAAAGGTCTTTTAAGACATTATTGATTATTGATATACATTATTGATCATTATTGATATACAGGTTAATCTTATACTCCGATAACGGGTTATGTCCAAATCACAAGTAATAATTATCTCTCTTAATAAAGGTTTTTATAATATAATTCTCTATAAAATACCTATATTTCTCCATTAGGTAAAGCTCTTATTTCACTAGTGAAAATACGTGTAACATATGTTATTTTGAAAATCAGTAACATTCGAGGTTTCTCTTGGAAGTAAGAAAAAAGCTATTTTACGACGTAATTTGCTTTCATATGTAATTATATGATAAACAGAATATTACATGGTCGCTTGGAGATATTTTATCTTCTCGTTTTGATAATCTCTCTCTGAGATCTTTTCAACATTCGATGATAAAATCCGTATCTCCTCGCGCTCATGTAATATCCTCTATATTTCTTGACAGACAATGAAGATAATAGTGTTCCGTCGACATCAACAGCTGGTCCTTCCCAGGCCCTATCCGTACCTCGTCCACT